GAACTCAGACATCAAAACCACAGTTATGGGGCTTATTAGGGACGTTAACAAGTTGCAGTTCAGGGTCAGAATGTTCAGGCCCCAGGAAGTCCTCTCTGATGCCCTCAGCTCCTGGGTCTGCTGGCCTCTGGCCTGCTTCAACATTACAAAGCTCTTTCAGTGCTTATAAACACTCACCAGGGAGCTATGCATTCCTCAGAACCATCAACCATGTGTGATCAATAAGGCAGGACATGGTCAAGGATAAAATGCAGAAGGCAGGAAGAGATAGGAAAGGCAGCTTGGTGGAAACAGGAAAACAGTGGGGAAGGAGGAACGCTGTTGTTACAATGTAAAGACTGCCATCAGTGTTACCAAACGTGAATGGATTGTTGACTAGAAAACCAATTAGCTCAGTAAACTTTCACTCAAATCGCAATTTAAAAAAGAAAATGAGTGGATCCATCCAAGGGTCTGTCAGTGCATGGACCACTAACTGGAAATTTGCCTCCAAATACAGAGGGCACCGTGAGACAGAAGAAAGAAGTGGGCAACCCCAGGGTGGTGGCAAGTTTACTGGGGAGACTTACATGCAAGGCAGGTCCTGGGCGGCTGCAGGCCACGTTTGATTCTCTGTACCTTCTAGTGGAAGGCAGGCTTTATAGCTCTTGTGAACAAAAGCAGCTTACATCAGGACTTCAGACTTCCAAAGCCACCCCAACAGCAGTTACATAAGAATGGTTTAGCAAACAAAACTGAGCTAGCACAAACCAAACAGTAACTAAGTTTGGGTCAAACATAGCCTTTTTCTCTTTCAGGATTCACCTTCCAACTACAAAATAAGAGGTGAAATGGTATTACAGTAAAACCTGCTAAAGCTGAAATCTGTCAGGGGGAAAACTCAAATATTTTCCACTAAAATAATATAAAAAATGGTAAGACTGCACCTTGTCAAAGGTACAAAACTTGTGAGACCAGAAAAACAAGGCTGTTCCATTGAGTCCCTGCTCAAGCAGGTTTCACTGTGTGTAGTTTATAATTAAAACGGATACTCCAACTAGCATCAAGATCAGAAAGAGAAAAACAGAGACAAAGAGGAGAAATTAGAGCCTTAAAAGATTTTCAGAAAACTGAAGAAGAGGAGACACTGCAAGTTTTCAGAAAAATAATAATAAATGATTATTCATATACAATGAAGAGGAATCAGAAGAGCCGGGAACTTCGTACACCAATTCTAGAGGCATGGGAAGTGTGATGAGCATGGAGTCAAGATTTCAAACATCTGGAGGAAAACTGTTCTCAACCTTGGATTTTATACTGGGATAAACTAGAAAAGCATGAGGTAGAATCATGACATCTTCAGATTTTAAGGTTTCACACAATTGCCTCCCAGGTTCATTCCAACGGCTTGCATCAGCAGCAAAACCAAACCTACTGCAATAGTGTCCATTCCAATTCGTAGCAACTCCAAAGGACAGCAGAGAACTGCCCCACTGGGTTTCCAAGGTTGTAGATCTGTACAGGAGCAGACAGAATGCTGCATCTCACATGTGGCCCACTGACAACTTTGCGTGGTGTCACATCCCAGCTGTCTATCACCGATTCCTTCCACACTTGCAAATACACTGTTCTTTTTTTAATTAAATAAATGTTTTATTGTGTATTGCATGATAGTTTACATGGGGGAACATTAATTTTACATTCAATCATACATCGTTTCATTGCCATAGTTACCATCCCGTCTATGCATCATTACCCAACCAAAGGGTATATCCTGCAAGCCCACCGCCCGCGCCCCCCCCCATGGTCCTCAGCACACAGCCCCTTTCCCTCTCCGGATCTCAAGTCCCAGCCACTCCATCTCTTCACGCCATCCTCTCTGTCTCCATCTCGGGCCTGACTGCTTCTCTTGTGGGGTCCCGCTCTCCTCTCTTCTCCACTGATGGTCCCAGGGCCCCTCTGCTCCTAGATTGAAAGGTTAATCACTCCCCTCCTTGCTACAAAACATCCACCTTTACATTTCCAACCCTCACAATCAGTCCTGATAACAATTATTCACCCTTGCATCACAAGAGACCCAACTGCATAAAATAGACTTGTTTTTGATATTACCCCATGTAAACTATCACTCAATTCACAAAAACGTAAAAAAACAAAACAAAAAAAACCCTCCAATTTTATTTGTAATCCTTCCTGTGTTTTACCTATTCAAGTTTCTTGCTAAGCCTCTTTAAAACCTTTTTTCGGAAGCTGGCCCTGTACAAATGCTAAATAAATACATCCCTCTCCTTTCTGGGCCATCTTGGTAAGAGCAGAGTGCACCGTGGAGCTGGCAGGAATCCCAATGGACTGGGACCGCCGAGCAAAGGGGATTTTGTAGCCGGAATGATCCAGGCTGCTCATCTCAAGGTGCCAGTGAGCGAGACAAGTCTTCATGTTGTGTCCAGCTGGTGACCAATGACGGCACTGTCCTTAATTCCTCCACATGCAGGCTCAGGCAAGTTTTGTTTGCCTGGATGCCGGCCCAAGTTCTCAGGTCCCAAATTTGTGATGCTCAAAGTCTGGGGCCGATGCCAATGTGAAAAAGAAACACTCATAGGTCCGTGGGCACAGAAGCTAAGTCTCCACACTTGGCTTGAGGGCAGAAGAGAACAGTGGTAGGTGCAGATTTGGATCAGAAACACCTGAGTCCAAAGCTCTCTTCCAGTTTGTGGCCATGACAAACCACCTACAACTCTCTCCAGTCAATGTCCTGCTCTGCTGGACCTTCTCTAAGCCCACGTATGCCTTTGGCTCAACAGGGAAGGGGTGGACGCAGCCCTGCACACAGCATGGCAAGGGGACCTGGCTGGATAAAAGCATTCAGCTGTGTGGACCCTAAAAATGATGGGTAACAGGGAGAATGGCAATTCCACAACACCAAATTATGCTCACGTAAACCTTACATGGTGCTGTGGGGTCAACCCATGTAAGGGTTATAATCCACAGTGCTAGACTGCAAAGTTGGTCTGAACTGCAAGGTTGGCGGTTCAAGCTCACCAGTCACTCCTTGGAAACCCTAGGCAGGGTCGCTATGGGTTGGAACCGACTCGACGGCACTTAACAACAACAACAAACCTTACATAAGAGCAAGACATTGTTGTTCAACAGCACAGGGGATACTGCCTGGTCTAAAACCAGGAAAGGTGTTTGTTGGGCAGTCTTCTCACCGTGCTTATTCAATCTATATGTTGAGCAAACCATCCGAGGAGCTGGACTACATGAAGAAAAACTTGGCATCATGATCAGAGGAAGACTCAGTGACAGCCTGCAACACATAGATGAACACAACAGTGCAGGAGACTTGAAGAACTAATTGATGAAGATCGAAGTCTACAGCCTTCAGCGCGGATTACACCTCAATATAAAGAAAACAAAAATCCTCACACCAGGATCAGTAAACAACAAAACCACAGAAATCAATGCTGTCAAAAGATTTTATTTTACTTGGATCCATAATCACCAGCCATAGAAACAGTAGTTAAGAAATCAAACAAAATATTGCATTGGGTAGATCTTCTGCAAAAGACTTCCTTAAAGTAATAAAAATCAACAAGACCATTCAGAGTTGTACCTGACCCAAGCCATGGTAATTCAGTTCCCTCCTGTACATGAGCAATGAATTCGGAAGGCTGAACATTGATGCCTCTGAATTATGGTGTTGGTGAATAATGAAGACACCATGAACTTCCAGACAAATCAATACATCTGTCACATCATTAAGCCCCTTAGAGGAAGGATCTTGAGACTTTGTCTCATGTACTTTGGACGCTATCAGTAGGGACCGGTCTCTGGAAGAGGACATCATGTTTGGTAAGTGGAGGCAGTCTCCCAACAATGGCCGACTGACACAGTGGTTACTCTGGGCTCAAAGCTAGCCACAACCGAGAAGGCACAGGACCAGGCAGTGTTTTGTGCTGCTGTACACACAGTCTGTGAGTCAGAACTGACTGGAGGGTACGTAACGTAAGAATGTATCAGAGGCGAGAAAGTACAAAGGGAAAACAGGGAAGGAAGCTTTCACAGAAGCCAACAGAGGGTGGTGATGGTGTCGTCAAGTCTGTTCCAACTAATAGCGACCTGATACACGGTTTCCGAAGCTGTACATAAATTTCATCTTTCTCCCTCAGAGCGGCTGGTGGGCTTGAACTACGAACCCTGTGTTTTACAGTCCAGTGCTTATCCTACAGAAATCATTGGGTACCCAACAGAAGGTGGCAGTTACGGAAAAAACCCCATCAGTGAGGAGAAGAGGTAATCCAGCCCTGGATGTGTGGGACATTCCCTCCCCTCACCTGGCTTCTGTCCCTAAAACCTAGACCACTTCTCTCCTCACACAAAGGACCAGACACACAGATAAACAGATTTACGACTAACGTTTTCTTCAAGAAACTTAAGATTGTGAATTAGAATTCCATATATCTATCAGGACAAATGAGTAACTCTCAGTTTGAGTTCTGATTTACTAGAGAAAAACTTTACTACAACGAAAGGACAACAAAGAACTGGTGAATGAAAATAAAACCAGTCAACCATTCTTCAAAGACTTCAGGAAAGATTCTTCTACTCCTTTTGGTTACAAAATCTGGAGACATTTGCTGTTTCCTACGGACGGACGGAGCAGAGGTGGCAGGAGAAATTCCCCGAACCTCCCTCAGAGGCGGGGGAAGTAGTGATTCGTGGAGGCAACACTTTGTCCACTTGGTGAGTTAGGGAGGGCCCTGGGCCCTGCCCGTGTGCCTTGTCTCCCTGAGTGTCTTCTGCGCCAAGTGGAGGTCAAACGTACTGCTAAAGCATCTCACTGCCCATGCTACAGAATGCCGCCCCCATCAAAAGACGTGTTTTGACTTACATAGTGAAGTGTGCCTTTCCCCCAATTCCTCCCATTTCCCCTGCACACAGCGCTTCTATTCTGTATCCTTGGGAGTGTGAGGCTGACTTATAGCCAAGACTCTGCCGCATCACTGCAAACACTGGGCTTTTTAGGAGTGAATCTGCTGGTGTCTCGTGAGGCTTTGCTTATAGCTAAAGGCTCGCCCACACTCCTGGCACACATGGGGCTTCTCCCCCGAGTGGGTCACCTGGTGGTGAAAGAGGCGTACCATCTGGGTAGAGCCTCGCCCACACTTCAGGGGACATGTAAGGTTTCTCCCCTGAGTGTGTCCTCTGGTGCCTGATGAGATGTGATTTCTGGCTAAAGGCCCGCCCACACTCCCCGCACACATAAGGTTTCTCCCCTGAGTGTGTCCTCTGATGTATAATGAGACGTGATTTCCAAATAAAGCCCCGGCCACACTCACTGCAAACGTAGGGATTCTCTCTTGAGTGTGTCCTCTGGTGTTTAAGGAGGCCTGATTTCCAAATAAAGCCCCGGCCACACTCACCGCAAACATAAGGTTTCTCCCCTAAGTGTGTGTCCTGGTGGAGAAGGAGGTTGGACTTCTGGCTAAAGCCATGCCCACACTCTTTGCACACATATGGCTTCTCCCCTGAGTGTGTCCTCTGGTGGAAAAGGAAGTGTGACTTTTTGCTAAAGCCACGCCCACACTCAAGGCACACGTAAGGTTTCTCCCCTGAGTGTGTCCTCTGGTGTGTGATGAGATTGGATCTGTGGCTAAAGCCTCGGCCACACTCCTTGCACGCATATGGCTTTTCTCCCGAGTGTGTCCTCTGGTGTATAAGGAAACCTGATTTCCATGTAAATTCTCGCCCACACTCCTTACACACGTGTGGCTTCTCCCCTGAGTGTGTCCTCTGGTGGAAGAAAAGGCTAGCCATCTGGGTAAAGCCTCGCCCACACTCCACACACATGTAAGGTTTCTCACAAGAGTGTGTTCTCTGGTGGCTGATGAGACTTGATTTATACCGAAAGCCTCGCCCACACTTGCACACAAATGGCTTCTCCTCTGAGTGTATTTTCCGTTGATGCACAAAGAGGCATGATTTCTCGTTAAAGCCTTGGCCACACTCAGTGCAAACGTAAGGCTTCTCTCCTGAATGTGTCCTCTGGTGTATACGGAGGACTGACTTCCGGGTGAAGCCTCGGCCACACTCACTACAAACGTATGGCTTCTCCCCTGAGTGTGTCCGCTGATGGATGAGGAGAAGCGATTTCCGGTTAAAGCCTCGGCCACACTCACTGCAAACATATGGCTTATGTTCTGAGTGTGTCCTCTGGTGCATACGGAGGACTGATTTCTCAGTAAAGCCTCGGCCACACACACTACACACATAGGGCTTCTCTCCCGAGTGGGTCCGCTGGTGTATAAGGAGGCGTGATTTCTGGGTAAAGCCTCGGCCACACTCTTTACACACATGTGGCTTCTCCCCTGAGTGTGTCTTCTGGTGTCTACGGAAGCTTAATTTCCAGGTAAAGCCTCGTCCACACTCGCTGCACACATACGGCTTCTCCCCTAAGTGTGTACTCTGATGCATAAGAAGGTGAGACTTCTGGGTAAAGCCTCGGCCACACTCTTTACACACATGTGGCTTCTCCCCTGAGTGTGTCTTCTGGTGTCTACGGAAGCTTAATTTCCAGGTAAAGCCTCGTCCACACTCGCTGCACACATACGGCTTCTCCCCGGAGTGCGTCCTCTGGTGCATAAGGAGGTGTGACTTCTGGGTAAAGCCTCGGCCACACTCACTACAGTCAAAAAGCTTCTCTCCCGAGTGTTTCCTCTGGTGTGTGAGGAGACTCGACTTGTGGCTGAAGCCTCGCCCACACTCCTTGCACATGTAAGGCTTCTCTCCCGAGTGGGTCCTCTGGTGTCTCAGGAGAACTGATTTCCAGTTAAAGCCTCGCCCACACTCCATGCACACATGGGACTTCTCCCGGAGGAGGGGCCTCTGGTTTGTGATAAAGTTTGACTTCAGGCCACAGTCTGGTCCATCCTCTCCAGAGCTGACTGCTCCGAATCTTGAGCTTCCTGATTCCTTCAGCCCTCGGTCTGCTTCCACAGAGTTCACCCTCTGGGCTGAGCTGTGCTCTATTCCTGCCCCTGGGTGGCCGTCTCTAGGGCTTGCTGACCGTCTTTGGGCTGGGCTGAAGGACGTCCTTGAAGTCTCTCTGTCCCCTGTCCTCCCACACAAGGGTCTGATGACATCTGTGTTCTTCCCACTGCAGCTCTGATGAGAATCCCACTGCTCTGGGCTGGACCGCCCTAGATGGAAGGGATATTCTGCACACACGCCTGGGAAGATCTGCAGAACGTGTTGGCTGAGGAATTGCTGACAGGAGAAAGGCAGAAGGCAGGAGGGACCAGGGTAGGTTTCTGGTGTTGGTTCTGCTGAAGAGAAAAGGTTTTCTGTTAGAGTAGCCAGGCGTGTGGCTGCCTGGGCTGGGCTGCCTTCTCTCTGACAGACACCAACTCACTGCTGGAGGCCCTGAGGGCACAGATCATTAAGCACTCTACTATTAGCCAAAAAGTTAGTGGCTTGAAATATAGGCCTAGCAACCTGCTTCCTAAAGGTCAGAACCTGGAAAACCCTATGAAGCCTGGGTCACCAGGAGTCAGAACCAACTCAATGGCAACTAGCAACACTCTTATTGCCACATGGGAAATTGACAATATACACAACACAATTTGTTCCCCGCAGGAGAAACATGAGGCTTTCTGCTCCTGCAAAGATTTAAAGCTTCAGAAACGCTATACAGGGTTGCTAGGTGTCAGAAACGGCTCCCCAGCACTTACCAACAACTCGTTTACATTCCATTTGTACAAATTACACTTTCTATTGCATTTAGGAACCCTGGTGGCACCGTGGTTAAAGCATTCGCCTGCTAACTAAAAGATCAGCAGTTCAAACCAACCCAACTCACAGTAGAAAAACGTGGCAGACCACACTTAACACTTCTGTTAAAGAAGCCCGTAAAGTCACCATGAGGGCAAGTCACAAAGTGCCACTATGAAATCATAAAAACTGATAGTCGATACAAATGTCAAAATGTGAAGGTAAAGTTTCTCAACATTATCCTCTAACTAGTCCTGGTCTTTACATCTCTCCAGCCCTTCTCCTCAAATTCAGAGCTCTTCCATTTACACATGTCAAAATTGAAATTTGGGCAGCCTCACGGAACTCAAATTATATTCCTTTTAAGTGTTTTTTGACTTTTGGAAACAAAACTAAATCTAAAGGGGCAAGATCAGGGTTGTAGGGTGAGTGCACGGTTTCCCAACAAAATTCTCCCAGGACAGTCCTGGGTATCCCGGATGTGCACTGTTGTGATGGAGAGCAAGTCCTTAGCACAACTTTTCTGACCTTTCTCTCAACAACAATTTTCAATACTCTTAAAACTTCTTAACAAGCCCCATGATGATACTGTATCCTTCAGGCAAATCTATCAGAATTACCCCTTTGGGGTCCCAAAAAACAAGTCTCCATAAACTTCTGAGCTGACACTTTGCCTTGAATTTAACAGGCCCAGTAGGTGCCCACGGAAGCCACGGTTTTAATTTGACCTTGTTCTCTGAATGTGTGGGTGAATCCAAGACCTCATGATTCATTCCACAAAACAACCCTCACGGACCTTGAACTTGCTAAGAAAACTAACAGAAGGCTAAGCTCTTTGAGCTGGCTGAGCTTCACACAAAGCTCTCGGCACCCAGTGAGCACCACAGTACTCTGAACTGTGCAATCTCTGCTGTCTCTTGTCTGCCTTTTTCTCTTACGTCTTTCTGTTTTTCAGACTGTATTGGCCTGTAGGACTTTTTTCCTACATCTATATTCACATCCATAAACAATTTGTGAACTTTAATGAGTTTGCCCATCATGTGTTATGTTTTATGACTACCTGAAACAGGGGAAGTGTAAAATTACACACTAGATTTTTAAGACCTCATACAAAAAAAAAAAAAAGAGAAAAGTACCTTATTAATAGTTTTACACTTATTACATGTTGAAATGGCAATATTGTGATTCATAGGTTAAATAAAATACATAATTAAAGTTAATTTCTCCTTAGTTTTACTTTTTTTTTTTTAATGTGGCTATTTCTTAGGACTCCTGGTACAGCACTGTAGGATCAGCACTGCACTGCAAACCACAAGGTCGGCGGTTCAAACCCACCAGCTGCTCCTCGGAAACCCTATATAGGGTCGCTGTGAGTCAGAACTGACTCAAAGGCACTTAACAACAACTTGTTATTAAGTGACGTCAAGTCAGCTTTGACTCATAGTGACCCTGTTGTAGGGTTTCTGAGGAGTGGATGGTGAGTTTAAACCACCGACCTTGCAATCAAGTGCTTATCCTACAGTACCCCACCAGGATTCCATGTGGCTACTAGGAAATTCAAAACTGTCTCTCTGGCTCACATTCTGTTTCTACTGGGCAGTGTTGATCCATGACAAGAAATGGGAGGATGACAGTCCTACCCTATGACTGATTTTGTGTCGCAAGTAATCGAAGAACAATTTTTACACGTTTATTAAATGCTTAGGAAAAGACTTGAAAGAATGGTATTTTGTAATGTGAAATTATATGAAAGTCAAATTTCAGTGGCCATAAATAAAGTTTTATTGGAACACGGTCATGCCCATTTGGTGACATACAGTTGAGGAGGACTACTGCGCTATCACAGCCGAAGTGAGCATGTGACAGAGACCACACGGCCACAAGACCTCAGTAGTTACCATCTGACCCTTTACAGAAAAACGGAGCCAATCCCTGATCGAGAATAATGTTGCAGTTGATACTATTTACTGACCAGATTTATATATCATAAACATTTTTAATAAATGGGGGAAAAAAACCATGAACAGTACAAAACCCAAATGCTTAAAAAAAATGGTACTTAATTTTAGCTTCTGTCATAGAACGCGTCTCCCCCTAAACGCGCCTTTGCAAACTGTGCCCCAAGCGCCACTGGTCTCCTTACAGTTGCTCCCACTTAAACCTTCCTTAACAGCAAATCCGTCCATCTGCAATGTTCCTACCCTGATGCCCCGAGTTCTAGCTTCCTCACCACCTCCTGTCTTGGTCTAATGTTAACCACCTCGTCGATTTCCAATACCCAAGTCCAAATTCAGACCCATTACCACTTTCTCCAGCTCTGGCTTATGAACATTTTCTTTATAATATTTGTCACTTTTTAACAGACCAATATTTCCTATAGAAAGATTACTGTTTGTTGTCTGACACTTTATACTCAGAGGTAAACCCAGAGAGCGCAGGGATTTCTAACTACTAAATTTACTAACTGTTTAGAATGTCTAGAACATTATCTGGTACATTGTAAAAACAGAGCAAAGCAAAACCACCAATTGTTGCCATTGAGGCAATTCCTCTGAGGTGCCTTTGGGTGGGTTTGAACCACCAACATTTAAGTTAGTAACAGAGGGCAAATGTTTTGATGCTAAAACAAAACAATTGTTGCTGTATAAAAGTAAACTGTCACATCTTTCTCTCAGGGAGTGGCCGGTGGGTACAAACTGCTGACCTTTTGCGTTCACAGTACTTAACCATTGAGTCACCGGGGGCCCTCTGGCACGTAGCTAGGTGGCAATGCATATGGACTGAGTTAGTGAAGGAGGAGAAAAGAACACATCCTCACCCAACGAGAGCAGGTTCCTGTACGTCTCCAGCGTCACTTCCTTGTACAAGTTCTTCTGCTCTAAGCTCAGTGTCACCCATTCTGCCTCCGTGAAGACCACAGTGATGTCCTCGAATGTCACTGGTGCCTAGACAAGCAAGACATCAAGACACAGCCAGTCATCATCACTGTCCCAATGAGAGGAGTGAACTGGGGCCCTCAAGGGTCTGCGTCTGAAGAAGTTACAGATGAGCCACACTGGGAACCCTCGCAGACAAACTTCCCCATGCGTTTCTTTATTCATATCCTTTTTTTGTTATAATAAAGCTGTAGTCATAAACAGGGGTTTATATATACATATATATGAAATCTGTGAGGTGTTCCAGCAACTTGTCAAACATAAAGGAACAGTGGGAGTCCACGGGTCAGAAATGAGGGAACTCAGGAAGGTTCCCAAGTCTGCAATTGGCTTCTCAGAGGGTAAGGGACACTCTAAATTTGTGGTCAGTACGTGAGCAGTGAGGGTGTCCTATGAACTCTCCAATGTGCAGCTAGAATCTGCCAGTTTGGCAGTCTGAAGAGCAGTATCCTTTATCCTGTGAGACCTGACTTAGGTCCAGGTGGCAAGCGGCAGAGGATGAAGTGCTACGTGGCAGCTGATGTCAGAGCTGAACAGAGACGTGGGAAAGTGGGCATTTTGATGATGACTATTTGGCACTTTGAGATTTAGTGACACAGTATCATATTCCCATAAATAAGACTGGTCATTGGAGATGGATGTTGAAACTACATAATGGTATCTGAGAAGATTCTGTTGCTACAATGCTTTCTGTCTCTGGATGTTTAAAACGTTGTAGAAACTTAACAGATATCCAAGATACAAAATGGTATCGTTAGAAACTAAGCATGTGGACGTAGAGCAAAATTAAATGACACATTTTAAAACGTTAATAACCTCAGTTTTTCAAAAATACTCCTTATATCTTAGTTTCCTGGATTCTTAATGTTAACCTTGGGTGTATTTCCCACAAGAACATACAATGTAAAACTGCAGAAACAATTCTAAGATGACTCACATGTCACCTTGACAAAAAGACATGAAATGCCAAAATGCTGACAGTCTTCTCCTGCCCTGAGACATAGAATATATGCTTGTTCATTGAGAACTGAGCCAGAAAACCATTTCCAGAAAAATAAGGTCATTCCAACTCACCGGAATTTGAGGCTTCCTCTTTTTTTCCTGGGGCCAGCCAGTATCCTTAGAAGACAAACCTAAGGGAAGAAAAGACAACTTGTAAGAAAGCAGACCTTTCATAATGTCCCCAGAGTAGCTCTCTTGATCACGGGGAGGAGGGAAGGAACCTGTTCACTCAGCTGTGGCCACTACAGCATTCTCACCTGGACCTGCAGCCTCGGTTCCCCGCTTCACCTCTCCACACCCTCAACAACTCTCACCTTCTGCCTTCTGTGTCTGGGTCACTTTCTTCATGGTCTCCGTATGGTCCCTGTTCTTTGAAGCCAAAATCTTCTCCCAGTCCTGCTCTCTCCGGGCAGAAGGGCCAGGCAACGTGACGGCCCCTGAGTCATTGGGAAGTGGTTTCATCTCCAGATGGGTGTCTGCTGTCTGGGGAGATGTCTTCAGTCTCAGTGATGAGACTCAGTGTTTCCAGGCACCCAGGAGCTGTGGGACAGAGAAGCACCGTGACGCTATGGACGCTATGCTGTGTGCTCTCCCCCCGCCAGGCCCCCTCAGCAGGATCCGGTCCTCTCACACCCTCCTGGGTCACCACTCACAGAGTCTCAGCCCACTCAGGCTCTCTTGATGCATTTCTGGTCTATAAGCCCTACTAAAAGGAGCAAGTGTTAATGACCATTTTGGATCGGCAAAATGATGGGGAGGGGGAATGTAATCCTTCAAGTATGAAAGGGCCATGGGGAACTGAAAACACATGTGGGCACCAAACACCTCCTCCAACCCTCTTACTCGGCTCAACAGTTTGTTGCAGTGACCACACAGAACTCAGACACTATGCTCAGAGTTGGGGATTCATGACGGAAGTCACCAGGTTATACTACGGGGTCAGAAAATGCTCAGGGCACGGCTGTTCCAGTCAGCTGCTGATCAATGCCTCAGCCTGAAAGCATTCAGCTTGAGCTCCATGGCAGCCAGCAAACCTAGCCTGTGCATTGAAGTGTCACAGTTTCTGTCCCTGTGTCATGGAGGGTCAGTGCACAGGGATGTGGGGCTTCTCTT